GCATGTGAACGAGTGGATAAGTTATGAATGTTTAGATGAGGGTACATGTACTCAGAACATTCGTAACTCATCTACTCGTTCACATGCATTAGAAGGAGGTAATTGCACTAGAAATCGCAACAAAAATTGCAAGTGTAAACTGTAAACGGGCGATTAATTCCTCCTGAGTTACAGCGGTTTGGTTAACAGAGACATGAAACATCTGTGTTAAGTATTCTGGAGTCATACCCCTAAGTGCTTTAAATGTCATTACTAATTCTCGCTTTTTTAGTGGAAATATTCCGGGAAAATGTCGTGATATTCCGCCATATTCCGTGATATTCCGCCATATTCCGCCATATTCCGTGATATTCTGCCATATTCCGTGATATTCCGGCATTCCGGTTTTTCACAACGCCCGTTCTAGTACACAATTAATCTTCTCTCACAGTTTAAAACAAACAATAGTACTAACCTTCGACAAATTGTGTATAAATCTTATCGAATTTAACCATTTTACCACAGATTTTGCCAAAATTATTTCTCAGACGGACAAAGTATTAATAATAGACACTCCTGCCATGAAATATTAATTTATCCCAAAGTTTGAATAAATTAATCCAAGATTGCATTATTTGCATAATAATGACTTGTCATTGACCAACCAGAATACATAGAAGACCGGCCGGTGCCAGGGCCTTTTCCCGTCTTCCCAATGACAAAAAGGGAAAAGCCCTGGAAACGAGGTTGTATAATAACACGCGTTTGTCGCAGAAGTTCGCGCGAAGCGACCTTTTTCCTTTGTCGGCATCCATTTTGCGACGTCTTGCTGACGTAATAAGTGATATCGACAAAGGAAAAAGGTCGCTTCGCGCGAAAACATACGCTAGTGTAAAACCGGCTTAACTACCCACGCAAGATCGTCTGCCAATACTCAATAGTCTTGACAGATGTTGTATTTGTTTATCGTATATTTTGTTTAACGTGTTTAGACACACGCACAAGGAAGAATCTTTTGTTTATCCGGACTCTTTTATAAACTGAGCATCCATTACTCATTAATTATTAGCTTATTAAGAAATATGAGTGAATTTAATACCTTCTGAAATCCATCCATGTTCTTTCGTCTTTCAATTCCTGTCCCTTATATTCGCTGACGAATCAATACTTATCTTACTTGTACATTTTATGCTTTTACCATACTTCAGACAAAAGATAGCTCATACAAAAAATCTAACAAAGGCTATATTTGACCGCAGCCATCAACATCATACGCAACTGATCGAAAAGTCAACAACAACAACAACAACAACAACAACAACAGCAACAGCAACAGCAACAGCAACAGCAACAGCAACAGCAACAGCAACAGCAACAGCAACAGCAACAGCAACAGCAACAGCAACAGCAACAGCAACAGCAACAGCAGCAGCAGCAGCAGCAGCAGCAGCAGCAACAACAACAACAACAACAACAACAACAACACACTCGCTAGAATCATAACATCGGTTGTATCATAGTTAATAGAATAGATCTGCCTCGTACCCAGGCGCTTTAAATAGTTATAATACATGAAGTATTCAGAAAGGCAGGCGACGCGCGAAGGGGCTGTTGGGAAGGGTGCGTGCTGGGGAGCGCCTGGCAGTTCTTGTATACTGTCATGGCGGGAAAACATGGAATTCAATACAAAACCATGTCGTCATATACTGTCTGTGTAAAACCTTATTTTCTGACGAAGAGTCGAATTGAACGCCATTGGCAAATAATAATAAATTTGTAGATGTTTGATGAGATGCAAAATGCGCGAAAAATTATGAGTAAATTACATGGCAAATTAACCGTGCGAATATTTCGAATATGTCATTCGATGTTACATGGAGAATAATAGAATGCTATCAGTTGCTTAGCATAAAACAGTAACAGAGAAATGATTAGAAATTAAATCACATAATTGCTTTTGTATTAAGAGCCGATGTCAGGAAAAAACTAGTCTGCTCGCAGACTGCATCCCGCTCCCGCGCGGGATTACAGTCTGCTATCATTCGACGCTGATGCCGTACAGCTACCGACGAAATATGATCGGCAGTTTTTTATTGGTTCGTTTCAAAATTATACTTGCATAAATTTGCTTAGCTAATTTCGAGACAAGTATACCGGTTTTACCGATTACATAAAGTTTCTGGGTGCTGTTAGGAAAGACATTACCACACAAAAGAGCATTTAATCTTTTGGGATGAATAAATTTGGTAGAATTTACAAAACTGGCATATTTTTTGCGAGTTTATATTTCAATTTCGTTGTATTGTTTTGCTTGACCTTGTCTACTGTCTATTGACCTTGTTTACATAATATAAGTTTTATTTAAAGTAACGCACCTGATTGGATAATAAAATTAGAAAGCCATTAAAGTGCTGAAGTGCACAATATTATATCTATTTATACGTCTACGTCACTGTACAGCATTAGTGACAAATGGTCGCAGACTGTAACCCTTCCACCACGGGGGGGAAGAGACAGTCTGTGCGCAGACTAGGAAAAAACAAGCAATTTCGAAAATCGACGGCAAAATAAAAAATTCGATTTCGCTCAAACTTTGCCTCAACATAGTCTATGATAGGATAAAAAACTGTGTAAAGTTTTTTCGAGAAATATATTTTAGTATTTGAGAAATCGCAATTTTAGGCCAAGCTGCTGAAATCGTGGTTTTACGAAGCGATATCTATGCCATATTTGATCGCCTCGTATACAACGAAAATAAGTATAAAAGGCTAAATTGTCCTATCATCTTGTAGTTTGGTGTTTAAACATATGTTTAAGTGATTTTGAGCAAGTTTGTTTTAATTGTAAGATCAGAAAGAATTTTATTCCCAAGGTATAAATTTCAGCTCGCTAAAAGTATGTCGCAAAGAAAATTAATTTTCACCATGTGATAAACCATTAAATTGATTATGCTTTAGCATGTTGAATAAATGATAAACATGCTTTCGATTGATATAAATATTTCTCTGGGCAAACGACTGAATGCTGCACAAGAGCTTTTCAAATTGTGGGTAAAATCGTGTTTACATGACCTTGAGTCGACCTTGGAGGTCAAACTCTCACCTCGCTAAAATTATAAAGAAAATAATTTTTCACCATGTGATAATCCTTTGAATTGATTAAGCTTTAGCATGTTGAATAAATGAATAAAATGCCTTCGATTGATTTAAAGAATTGTTTGGGCAAACGACTAAGTGCAGGGCAAGAGCGGTTCAAAGTTGGGGTAAAGTCGTGTTTACATTACCTTGGGTTTGGAGGTCAACTCTCAAAATAACACGCAATGAGTATATTTGAACGTAATAACCCAAAAGACCTCAAAAAACCAACCCAAACATAGTAGTTTTAAGCCTTGCTCACCAATGACTGCCTTATTGTCTAATATTGATGATAAACTTGGTCTCTTTACTACCATTCCCTTGTACTGTCTCTGTCTCTGAGTGACATTTCGTGATTTGTTGTTCAGTTTGTGAATAAATTACAGTGTGCCAATTACTGAATAATACTATAATAAATGGTTAATAATATCATATAATTGATAAAAAGGTATAAGGTAAAGTAGTCAAAATAATATGATAAAATACATTGATGCGCTGATGGCAAAATAAAATGTCAATTCGAAGTCTATTTACTGTCAAATTTGTTGCGTCTCTGGCCCTGGGTGACAGTCAATTGTTACTTCCGATTACTATTTTTCAGAAACATATAAACAACTCATCGCCTTGCTGCTTCCATGAGATGAAATTATATTAATAGTAATAGTAATAAACAATACTAATATCATCCTGCATTCGAATGACCGCCTAGGCGAGGGCCGAAACCTTAGAGGTCCTTAGACATAGTAGGCTAGCAAATTGCTGGGTGAGTCGGTCGCTAATTAAGCGGGCGGGCTGATTTTAAATAAATAAAATTTCTCTACCAATTATCTTTTAGGGTTTTAGCATTTAAAAAAATATTTATGTGAATATCCCTGCATGTGGACGGTGAAAAACGTGAAAACAGCTCCCGAATATATATATATATATATATATATATATATATATATATATATATATATATATATATATATATATATATATATATATATATATATACAACAGAATAGCTGGCTACGATCCGAGAGAAACCAATACTAAAAATGTACTAAAGTGATAAAGTTTTAATTTTCGACTGAATGTCTCAGCCTTCCTCAGAAATAATATTACTAATAATTTCTAACCTATATATATACACCAATAATATGCAAATATTACAATAATGATAACTAATTAAGCTTAGTGATAGACAAAGAAGTCACTGTCACATTGTCTATCACTAAGCTTAATTAGTTATCATTATTGTAATATTTGCATATTATTGGTGTATATATATAGGTTAGAAATTATTAGTAATATTATTTCTGAGGAAGGCTGAGACATTCAGTCGAAAATTAAAACTTTATCACTTTAGTACATTTTTAGTATTGGTTTCTCTCGGATCGTAGCCAGCTATTCTGTTGTATATAAATGTCGAACTGGCTGATACGAATATTGTATTTTGTCATCTATATATATATATATATATATATATATATATATATATATATATATATATATATATATATATATATATATATATATATATATATATATATATATATATATATATATGCGAGTTTGGTTCGTGAGAGGGCGTAATTTCTAAATTTATATGCTATTTATAGCGGTGAGCACAGTGATTTATGTTTGCTCAAAAGTTTCATGTATTGAGTGCTAATGGAAGATGGAAGTATCTTGTTCATTTCGATCTCTTGTTGGAGGCATATGCGGTTTCGACAAGAAAGATCGCAATCGTAATACTCAAATCATTCCTCTAGTTTCCTGCAATAAGAATATTTCGAAACACGTGGCAGCACTTGCTTTTAGGGGAACGGAAAATGACATTGATTTAATATTGTGTCGAGCTGGATTATTCAACTATCACGCAGAACGTAGACTATCAGAGATATGACAATTTGTCCGCATCATCGCGCTGTGCTTGGTATCAGTTGGACGAGAGGTTCAAGCACGAGATGCAGAGTCCCAGAAATACTTTCTGGACATGGGAATGGTAAAGGAAGTTGGCCAAAAAGCGATCGAGGAATCAGTAAAATCGAGTCTCGTGTAATACTGCGCAAGACGGGAATATTTGTTCAAGTTGTTTCTGGTAAGCTAAATGAGTTATCGATCATGATCATCAGTGCTGCATCCACAGCTTCAGAAACAAATATTAGTTGTAAAAACACTATATTTATTCAGGTATTTGTAGAAAATGCAGAGAAGAAATGAAACAAGACGTATTCCAAGAGCCAATCCCTCCTCCATCTGAGGTAAAACAGCGATTGAAAGCTGGGTAAATGTCACAGGATCGATTTATTCAAATGAAATTGCTGCATGTGTAAATCATTCTAGCTTGTTGAAAATTGAGTCTGAGAGCAATTTGGATCACTTTCTTCTTTTACATATCTTTTCATTTTTTGTTAATATTTCTTCTCTTTTTTCCATTCCTTTCAACTTCAACGCAACGAAAGAGGGTTATCTTTTAATAAGACCCCAATTTTTGTTTTGTAGAAAGAACTTACAATAACCATGGAAGGTGATTGTTCTCCTCCATTTGAAGTTAAAACATTGTCATTGACTTACAAAATGGATAAAATGTCAATTATGGTGGGATTGATATGTTGAATTCAATTACTATATTTGCAAATCGTTCAAGCTTTTGGCAAATGGACGCTAAATAAACGTATTTTTTTAATCCAATACTTCCTTTCATCTCCTTTCTGTTTCTTTCCTGTGAGTTTATTTTCTGTCTTGTCTTGGGATTTTTCCTCGTAGTTCTCTTTGTTTTTTTTCTCTGTTTGTCTGAGTAAAGAATAAAAAACTAAGCACTGTTTGAAACTGAAATAAATAATTTTTATGTGATGATTGAGAAACCTATAATTATTTAAAACTTCCGTTTTTATTCAAATTTTTTTAGGAAGAAAAAGAAATAACCATGGAAATGGATAGTTCTGTTCTGCAAACACCACAAATTGCACCAGGCAATCTTTTCACAGACACACCATTTACCTTATATCAACCACCGGAAACCTCTGAAACGCCAGAATTACAGGAAAATAGTGAAACTGAAACAAGTTCAAGGGAAAAACTAAATTCGTTTTTGGCAACAAGAGATATCAGTCCCGTACGAAGCTCGATGAAGGTAGCATGGAATGATGCTTCGGAGAGAACGAAACGTCATTATACTCGTAAGGCAAGACAGGTCGTGTTTGCAGCTCTGGAAGAAATTTCACCTGATAGTTCAGATATGTTGCTAGACGTATTGAAATCTCCATGGAGTGCTAATACCAATATCGATTCTATGTTAATGCAGGCACTTACTGAATGTTATAACAACGCATCTCATTGGAGCACACATAGGCAAATCTTGTCAATCATGGCGGACAAGATTAATTTTAAGGAACTCCAAAAATGGATTCCACATTTAACCCGATACAGATACAGCATTGCACGTCATCATATCTTGCTCCATGGAAGAGGTTCTGTTGTTGCTCCCATGAAAAATACAAGGATATGCGTTTCACCCCAGAAACTTGATCACTTCTTGACATTCATAACTAGTACATCAGTAATACAGGACTTGCCATTTGGAGAGAAATCATTGAAGTTATCCTCCAATACCAAGATTACTGTTCCAAATGTCATCAGGAATCTTATACCTGAACAGGTAGTGAAACAATATCAGAGTTATTGTGAAGAGTCTGATTTCGTACCTCTGAGCCGCAGCACTTTATGCAGAATTCTCAAAGTCTGTTCTGCGTCAGTCCGAAAATCTCTTCAAGGGTTAGACTACATATCAGCAGAGGGTTCCAAGGCTTTTGACGATCTGGAAGATATCTTAGAAAAGCTGGGAGACGAATATGGAACCGGTCATACCTGGGCAAAAGAGCAAAGTGGCAAATTAAAAGTTGCGAAACGCTATCTTAAAGGTGATTACAACGTTAGTCAATTTATTTATTCTCATACAGGAAAAAGTACTAAATAGAAAGGCAAGGGAAAATACAATTTGTGTTGAAAGAAACTGAAATACTCCAACAATAACTTATTTTGTATTAAAGGTACATGTAGCACCAAGTTCAAGAGTTGCAGATCACTGTAGGGCTCACGCTCTTAGTTATAAAAAGGAGAAGGACACTGATTATTTTATTGAATGTGACCACCATCATGATCTTTAGTGTGACAGATGTCTATTAGTTCCTTCTGTTTTCGATGAGATAAGCACAGCTTTGGAAAACGCAGAGATTCCAAACGAAGAAAAAGAGGAGATATTGTATCTTGTTTTCCAGTCCAAGAATAGTATTGAAGCTTTGAAGGCGCACTTACTCCGCACTGTTAACCAAGACGAAGCTAGATTGGACACCATCAGTAATTTGGATTCAAATTCAGTGCTTATTGTCTTGGACTGGGCCATGAAATTCCTCCCAAGAAAATACCGAGAAAGCCAGTCAGATTGGTTTGGCAAACGGGGAATTTCATGGCACATAGCCGTTGTGACAAGAAAAGCAATGCCATCTAAAATAGATACACTCACTTTTGTCCACATATTCAGAAAGTGTTCACAAGACAGCCCAACAGTTGTGGCAATCGTAGACGATGTGGTTAGGCAGCTCAAGACAACCATGCCGGACGGAGAATTGGTATACCTACGTCAAGATAATGCCGGGTGCTACCATAGCGCACCTACCATACTGGCACTCCAGCAGATAGCTAAGAAGTACAAAGTGCAAATCAGATTGGACTTCTCCGATCCACAAGGCGGAAAAGGAGCGTGTGATCGTAAAGCAGCTTCTCTCAAGAACCATATAAAGATGTATCTAAATTCAGGAAAGGATGTTGATTCCGCTGAGCAAATGAAGGATGCTATTGAGTCCTTTGGTGGTGTACCAGTGTGCGACCTTCCTACTGTTCCTGATGATGATGCACCTAAATGGGAAGGTATCAGCTTTATCAATAACTTTGCATATACCAATCGTGGAATACGAACCTGGAGAGAATATGGTATTGGTCCTGGTAAATTTCTAAAATGGAGCCACTTTTGTTTGCCAAAACAATACCCAATACCTCAACTTAACGTAATTAAGGATATGCCGCTTCTCCAAAGGCTGACTTTGCTACCATTAAAGCCAAAAGAAAGCCAAGTAAACCACGAGTTTCAGAAAAGTCAACAGATGAAGATAGAGCCTCAGACCACTCAGACGAGGAGAGCGACAGTGGGGAAAACAAGCTGTTTTCTTGCCCATTCGAAGGCTGTGTAAAAAGTTACCAAAGATTTTCATCTCTGCAAAGCCATGTTGACATTGGAAAGCACAAGTATGCATTAGAACACGAAACTCTTTTTGATAAAGCGATGCTGGAATACGCCAAAAAGTTAGAAGAAGGCACTAGCGCAGTTCAACATCCAGAAGCCCATGGTATTTCACAAACATTGGATTACGTGGAACCTTTGGAAATTGGATGGGCGCTAAAGTCGTCAGCTAAAAGAAAACGCTTTACTCCTACCCAGAAAGAATATCTAACTAGTCATTTTGACATAGGAGAACAAACTGGCCACAAAGTAGATGCCAAGAATGTGTCTAACTCTATGAGAAAAGCAAAGAATCCAGATGGTTCGCGTTTGTTCCAAAAATCAGATTTCCTGTCACCGCAGCAAATTGCAAGCTTTTTTTCTCGCTTGGCTAAAAAAAGAAGACAAGTTGATTATAGTGATACAGAAGATGAGGTCGAGGAAGACGAGTTCAAAGAAATGTCAAACGAAAGGAACTTTGAAAACCTAACAAATGAAATTTTGAATGAAATTTCTATTTCCCATCCAATAATGTTTGAAACACACAACATCTGCGAACTGGCTACAAACTCCAAGTTGTCCAAATTCTCTGTACGTATGCTCCAAGATATTTGCAACTTTTTTGAAGTGGATACATCTGCCATAAAAAGCACAAACAGATTCAAGAAGCCGTATATCGACCTTCTGAATGAATTAGTGGCAACCTGCTCCTGCTACAAGAGTCAGTAAACTATTTTATGATTATGTTTTGTGTTAGAAAAAATGCTGTTCCGTTACTCGTTGGCAATGTCAGTTAGCGTTGAAGCGCCATAGACCATTTCAAAAGAGCGAATGTGTGAAGGAGTATAACACTAATAGTACAGCGTGACTCATAACAATGAATTTTATACGAAGTGGCTATATTTATGGGCCCGTAAACGGACTTTGCCAGGCTATATTTACGGCACTCAGGTTCCTAGTCCCACACATGCTAAATGAATCTCAACCCTAACCCCAAACCTAACCCAATCCTAATCCCAATCCTAACCCCTCTAACCCCCCCCCTCCCTCTACCCCCAACCCTAACCACTCAGGAACTAAAGTTTAGTTTGGAAACAAATTCAAACATATGAAAAAAATGCATCAAGGGGCGCACGCCGGTACCACTGAGCTAGTGACATAAGGCACCATAAATGCAGCCTGGCAAAGTCCATCTACGGGCCCGTAAATATAGCCACTTTGAATTTTATATTACAGTATATATAAATATATAGAGTTCACTGCTCCGCGTAAACAATACAATGAGCATGTCCACATATCCGGCGATAGATATATCTGTTGATAGGTGGACATGCTCATTGTATGAATACAATGATAATTTTTGAGCTGTGTATATATACTAATATCAAAGTTTATCCGAAAAAGTTATTATTATAATAATTTTGCCTGCGTTCACACGGTACCAGAGGAAATGTTTGACCGTTGAAATACTTGACGTATGAAAAAATTCAGCTAGGCATAAAAAGTTAAGGTTAATTAATTAAAGAGTAAAAATTACGAAATGATTAAAAAATCAAAACTTCTACAATATGGCAATAAACAATAGATAATGTGTGAACGGATATTCAAACTATACAGAATTTTCAGGAATCGATATTTAGCGATTACTTTAGTTACTCTTTACCTAACTCTCTTTTCACCTATATTATAATAATACATGCGGAAATACCAGATTTATTTCGAGTGTTGAACATGATATCTCTGTTTATCCCCGAGCCAGCGGCGCGAAGCGCCGTGCGAGGGTACTAATTCCCCCCGGCTATTTACACCCGGGGAAACGAAAGCATTAGCGGAGTCTAAAGTTCATCAAATATCGCGGGCGCATGGTTCACCGTTCATGGGTGGTCATCCTCACTGATCTCAAAATATAGCGGACTGTCGTGAATAGCGAACACTGATTGGTCAAATTTAAAATTTGTTGTTGTGAGATGAACTGACGACTTCAACTGACAGATACTTCAAAATAATTTGCTTTTTGCACTGCAGTATTTTGTACGTTTGCAAAAAACTTTGACAGCTTTCAAAGCAATTTGCTCTATAAAGAGTTTAATAAAACAATTATGGTATCAAATACCAATTGAAAAGATATGGACTACTGTATGGAGCCAAATGAAGAGCGGCAAGGAAACGACAAGAAAGCCGAACGTCTCGCGAAAAGGAGGGAGCCAGCGAAGACGACAACGTTTGCTCGAGGAGACTGCTGAGGAAAGAGAAGCTCGCCTGGGAAAGCGTAGAGAAGCATGGAAAAAAAAGACTGCTGAAGCGAAAGGTATTAAAGCAAAGGCTTGTATTCACAACGCCATGTACCAATGATACTGTAGCTATACAAGTTTAAGTATGATATTCGACCCTCTATATTCGACTATTTCTTCACAATTTTCCAATAAAGAGTTTGTCATGACACGCTCAAGTCAGTATAACCAGACTGTATTTTATTTATATCAGTTATCAAATACCGTCGGTGGCAACTAAGGGTGAACAGTTGCAGATAAGACATTCTCTATTCTCATTAAAAAGCCTGTAAAAGTTTCCAGTAGGTCTCTAGCCCAACAAGTTCAGACAAAGTTTTGTTACTTATTTTTATTGCACACATGGGAAACAACAATTAAGTGTTGTTGTTCTTGACAAACATTGAAGATTCTAATCACGCGAATGTTTTTATGAGCGACTGTTCATCGTTAGTTGCAAACGACGGTACAACATACTATGAACATTTTTCCGACTGTGACCGAATGTGCAACGATATATTTTTCAAAGTTGTTAACAATCCCTAAAATTTGTTTATAGTAAAACAGCCTGCTCAGCACTCACTACTCACGATGATTTCATTTAGAAATGCAGTTACCAGGAAAGGAACTGATTCTAAAATATTAAAAGCATTGGCTATTACGATGTGAAGACAAGGTACAAACTTTTATAGTTGCTATTTGTTATAAATCCTATAAATAAACCGATTCAACAATAATTTTGCCTCGAATTTGCATATTCTATGCTGCATGTTTATATTTTATTTTTATAGTATAAAAATAAAATTGTAATACTATGAAATAAAATACATTTCTGTTTATTGACCAGTACTTCTACTTCTAGCAAGTAAATATTTGACAAGCAGTCTGGAATAAGCACAGGACTTTTAATGCATCTGCCAAATCCAAGTGTGCCCATCCCCCTCGTCCAGCCATTTTCCTGTAAAGCACATCCCGGGGGTTGGGCATTTCCACTCGAACCTTAGCCCCGGCAGGGCATTTGAAATTAATAATTTGGATTCTTGCACTTCACTTGTGGAATTAATATTAGAATGTTAGGGTTTGTAATCCAAGTGAGAATATATACATGTATATATTTTGTAATCCAAGTGAGAATATTTTGTAATCCAAGTGAGAATATACAAATGTACCGGTATAGTACATGTATATATTTGGTGTATATATTTCGTAATCCAAATGAGAATAAGTTCTTTGTATGTTTGCATGGTGATAAAATATAATAGGTTTTGTTTGTGGAAACAACGTGCAAAGCTTTCGATCCGTAAGCCCGGATCTTCATCAGTGCTAATAATATAACCAATCATATTATTAGCACTGATGAAGATCCGGGCTTACGGATCGAAAGCTTTGCAGTAATAAATTTACGTGGTGTTTCCACAAACAAAACCTATTCAAATGAGAATAGTTTGTAATCCAAGTGAGAATATGCAAATGTATATATTCTCACTTGGATTACAAACCCTAACATTCTAATTTTAATTCCACCAAGTGAAGTGCAAGAATCCAAATTATTGAAGTCCACCTTATCACAACCTGCACACCCGATTACCTAAATATACATGAACTTACGGTTAAAGCTCGACAGCTGGTCTCTTGTAGCTCAGTTGGTTAGAGCGCTGCACCGGAATCGCAGGGCCGTAGGTTCAATTCCTACCAGAGAACCTTGTGCTGCATTTTTCGCAGTCGTTCCTTGTTAGGTCTTAAAATGTATATATTCTCACTTGGATTACAAACCCTAACATTCAAATATTAATCCCAACAAGTGAAGCTAGTGCAAGAATCCAAATTATTGAAGTCCACCTTATCATAACCCGCACACCCGATTACCTAAATATACATGAACTTATGGTTAAAGCTCAACAGCTGGCCGAGCTGTAGCTCAGTTGGTTAGAGTGCTGCACCGGAATCGC